TCTCTAATTCGGAGAACCCCCCAGAAGGAGACCTGTGCTGTTCAGAGAGTGCACTGGAGTACGAAATGAAACAATCAGGATGATGTTACTGATGAGTCCCACAGCTCTGCCTCCCCTTCTGTCTCACAGGGCAGGCACGATGAGGAGGAGCTGTTACAATCCCCCTCTGCCTCGGCATCGCTGCCCAGGGAAGCTCCTGGTGCACGTCAGAGCCCTCGGGAGGGATGCAGAGCCCTGCAGAAGGGATGCAGAGCCCTCAGGAGGGATGCAGAGCCCTCAGGAGGGATGCAGAGCCCTGCAGAAGGGATGCAGAGCCCTCAGGAGGGATGCAGAGCCCTGCAGAAGGGATGCAGAGCCCTCAGGAGGGATGCAGAGCCCTGCAGAAGGGATGCAGAGCCCTCAGGAGGGATGCAGAGCCCTGCAGGAGAGATACAGAGCCGGGCAGAAGGGATGCAGAGCCCTGCAGAAGAGCTGCTCATTATCTGCCCAAAGTTAAGGCCTGCATCTGCTCTCAATTAGCAGGCAATTAGGGGAGTTGAAAACAAACCTGTTTACATTGGCTATGAAGTCTAAAATAATTTGTGAGATGTCAGGACAGGATATTAAGATGTTAATGATCTTGTTTCTGTACTTCCCTGCACGCAGGGTAGTGTGGCATCTTCCCTTCACAGCCCCTACACGGTGACAGATTGATTGACCTCTGGGAGGGCATAAAACCCCCAGAGTCTGCTTTGGATGGGAGAAGTTGTGTCTTACAAATAGTGTTAATGGGAAACCTGAGGATGAGGGCATCTTTACAAAAAAAAAGGGTGGTTGTTCATTTTTAGTTGTGAAATAATGTCATGTCATGGATGACAGTGTTCAGGGGTTTCAACCACAATTCCCACAGTGAAGGCCCAGGTTGTAACCTCCTGTGAACGTCAGGAACAGTGACTGAACAAACCCAAAAAAGCCTGTTTGCACCCCTTCACTGAACTCACTCTGGTGGAACAGTTCTGACCCAGCTCTCCCTCCACAAAAGCCCACCCAGGCAGGTGCCTGTGGCACAGGGAGGCTGTTTGTGCCCCTGAGCATCCTGCACGAGACATGGAAGGGCAACTGTGACCCTGAACTTCAAATTAACATACGGGATAGAATCCTGCTTAGTTCTGTTGCTGCCCTACAAAGATCCATTTAAACCATCAACTCTTTGAGAAGAAAATTCTCATTCAGCAGCATCACCAGGGTAAGCTTGCTTAAGGTTCAGCTTCTTGCCTTTGCTGGGTCATTTCTGACCAGGCCCATGAAAAAGGCTTCACACAAACATACCTTCTCCTTGAACAGACAATGGAAAGCAGCATTAGGATTCTCTGTCTCTGAAATCAGAGAACTCGTCTCCATCAACACAATCCAGCAGAACAGTGGAATTGATGAGGAAACTGCAGAAACACCTGCCTGGGAAGTGTATTTTGTACCTCATTAAATATAATCAGCACATTCCCACTGGCTGCCCACATCAATTCTGTCAGAGTTGCAGTGGGGATTATTGCCATATTGACCTTCCATGACACAGTCATCACATCTTATCTTTGACCCTCAGAACTAACCAAAAAAGTAATTCTAGTAAACACTCCGAGTTGACAAAATTCCATTTTTACCATTCCAACTAATCAACCCTGTTACTGTAGTTATTTATGTCGTGCAAACAGAGGCCTGAACTCACCCTGCCCTCAACAATTCAAAAAGCCACAGAACAAAAAGTGCACCACAGGTGCCACTGTGCCCTCTTGTGTTCTCCTTTGGGCCATCTCCTCTCTTGTCCTTTTGGTTTTTCCACCACAAGCTACGGATCCAGCTCTAATAAGAGCCAGGTGCTCAAGGCCCCAGGCTACAAAACAGCTTTAATTACAATATTAATAGCATTCTCCTAAATCAGAAAAAAAAAAAAAACAACCAACAAATAGGTCAGTATTTGTGGTTATATTTTTCAGTGTCCCGGTGTTTGTTTTCTTTCCAATTTTATGTTTCTTACTGACATTTATAATGCCTAAGAGACATTCCAGAGGCTGAAATACAGGCGATCTGATCTTTGCATGATACTCCAAACTTTCCACAAAAAGAAACAGCAGGAGGAGATCAGATCTACATTTTACCAGCCCCAGAGGTACACCCTTGAGTCTTGACCTCCTTTGATGAAAAGCAGAAGAGCTCAGTATTATTAGTATTTATTGTTATTATCTTAATTGCTACTATTATTAAGCAGCCCATGAAATATATTAATATAAATAACACAAACACAGACATTTGAAACACGAATTCAAGCACAAAGGAAAGACACCTCCTATTTACCAAATATTAAACCAAATTCATTTAATACTTTCCATTAATAACTCTTGCAGATGCACACTGCATGAGTCAGTCAACAGTAAAGGTTAGGGTGAATGTGTACAGCATGGGAATGCCAGCTGGGCTCCTTGGATACTTATTATTGTAAAGATTAAAAAGGGGGGGCTGTGTTAAAAGAAAAACATGAAACTAATGGAGTTTCTGCCATTAACATTCAGATCAAGCCAATTCAGTTCAGAAGTCAAAAAAATCCAGTTTTTGCTGGTCCTTTGCTGGTGGAAGGAGCCTGGCCTGCAGTGGGGGGGGAGCCACAGGGGGACAGTTCTGTTCCACAGCACCAAGGACTGCAAACACACTGGAGTTCTCCATGTGCTGGGAACAAAACTCCTCCCTCCCTTTCACAGAAGTAGAACCATGGCCATGGGCATCACAGCTCTCCTGTGCCAGGGGGTGCCAGGCAGGGATCCCCACTCCATGGCACCTTCACCCCACAAACAAACCAGCACCTCAACACCCACTGGCCAAGTCACTTCCCTTCTGCTGCTGCCTCCCCTCCCACCAACATAAAACCTGGGCATGCCCCAAGCTCAGTCTGAGCAGCCTGGTCCAGTGAGGCAGGACTGGATGATCTTTAGGGTCCCTTCCAACCCAAACCTTCCCATTGTTCTGTGATTCAGCTGTAGACACTTGATGCAATGAGCTCAACACTTTCACTCCCAGCTCTCTGGACTCCTCACTACTGAGAGTAGTAAAACATGTTTTTGTCAGTAAAGCCCAGTGCTGTGAGTCAGAGCCTGACACACACAGGGCAGTTACCGTGTGTACAGTAACACGGGGCCATATTTAGAGTTTCTAACCATAACCACACTTGCAAAAACTGCATTAGATCAGCAGCCAGTTTCCCGGACTCCCACTCCTTGTTTCTGACTTCAGGAATTCAGATTATTTGTCTTGTACCAAATAAAGTTGCTTAGGAGATAAAACAGTAAGAAGGAAAAACAGAGGGGCCTAACAATTAGCTTTAATCTGCTCTGGCTTGAACAGATAATGCTTAGAGCGGAAAACAGCAGATAGTAAGGACAAAAAAAATAGCAGCAAATTGAAACCTAACGTGAAAATAAACCTTTTTCCTTGATTTTTATATTTAAACTTTGAATGTTATCCTTAGCAGCACATGAGTAATTTGCAGAAGTGTTGGCCAATCTTCATTAACGACATTTGTCCTCGCTAAGGCTGCCTGTAAATATCAGCATAGGCAAAACGGAAAGACTCACAGAGGAAGGTGTTTGAGTTCTGGCTACTGCTGCTTTCTGCAGTCACACATCAGGAGGGAACATTGCAGCTGGCTTAGTTCAAGGGGTTTTTTCCATGAAGAGCAGGTTTGTTGCAGTGTAAAGGCTCTCTCGCTTTGTTTCTCCTCTTTTTTTTTTTTTTTAAATAACTTCAGGTGTTGCTGGTAGGATGAAGAAAGTCAAGAGACTCACACAATCACACAGGATGTTTTGGGATTAGAGGGGATCAGGAGCTCATGCTTTCATTGCAAGAGAGAGTGTTTAACAGTGAGAGCAGAGGAGATCAAAGATACCTGTCCTGGGAAAAGAAAGGCAGATAAACATCAGGAGTTAGAGAAGGTGACAAGTGCTGGGAGAGGGATCCGGGACAGATCAGATAACTCTGACCTGGGTCCCAAAACATCTCCTGCCTGCAAGGAAAGGGAGCCTATACAGGTGTATTTATTATTTTGTCTACACTTGTTTCCTACCCGTGCCATTTCAGAGAGAATCATTTCAGTCCCATAGGCAACACCTGCACACAGCTGCTCCCAGGGGATTGCAGGGATAACACCTGCAGGGCTGGGAGTCCAAGGAAAAACATGGACTTCGAGTCCCAAAGGTCACAGCCCAGCCTGTGGGTTCAGCTGCACCACAGAGCTTTGCTGCCTTGAGGGCACACCAGGCACTGGGGACAAAGTGTCCCAGCAGATGAGGCCTGGCACAGGGGCCAGGGGAAGTCCAGTGTCTGGGAGCTGCCCTGGAGAGCGGGAACTGAAGCCTCTGCAGTGCCCACTCCCTCATCCCTGGTCGTGGACAGATGGCACAGTGCTGGCACAGCCCAGCCAGAGCAGAACTGGGGGACTGCTCACAGCAGAAACTAATTCAGTCCACTCTGAAGGCAAAATGGGGTTGGAAAATTGCTCAGCATATTCTTTGCTTTATTTTTTAGTCATTCTTTTGATGAATGTGCACAGTTCCAGTGATGATGGAGTTTTGTTTGTTTTTTCCTTTTTTTTTTCCTTCATTTTAATAGCAATAATCACAGAATGGTTTGTGTTGGAAGGGACCCTAAAGACCATCTAGTTCCAAGGCCTTGCCATGGCCAGAGATGCCATCCTGCAGATCAGGTTGCTCAGGGCTCCATCCAGCCTGGCCTTGGACACTTCCAGGTATGGGGCAGCCACAGCTTCTCTGGGCAACCTGTGCCAGGGCCTCCACAGGGAAGAATTTCCTCCCAACATCTACTCTAAATCTCTCCTTTTTAGTTTAAACCATTGAAAACAAAGAACAGCAGTAAAAAATGATCATAAAAGGGAATGGGTTTTTGCTCTGTTTGGCTCAGTTTAAGTGTGGGGCTCTGGAGAACCCTCTTCCATCCATAGCACTAATAGAGGTACTGACCTGGCTCTTCTTGCTCCAGTTTCAGGGCAGGGAAGCAGTTGTGTCCAGCTATCCAGGATCCAGCTGAGACTGAAACAAGAAACCAGAACTGTGACAATTCACACACTTAGCAATGTTGCTTTTTACAGCAGACCCCTTTAGGTTGGATCCCTCTCTTTTCTACCCTCTTCTCCTCCACAGAAAGCCCAGAGCTGCTCTGGGTTGCCCATCAGCTCTCTGGAGGCTGCAGCTCCAGGAGAGGGGGCTGGCTGGCTCTGCTCTCACTGTTTATTTTCTGGGAAGTCAGGCTTGGTCAAGTGGAATGAAACTTGTGTTCATTTTAAGAAAGTTTATATTTGACTCTGGTAGGGCTGGGGAGGAGGTAAATGATAGGAAGAGGAGGGAAGGGCCAGAGATCTTATGGGGCTGCCCCCACAACACCACAAGCAGCCCCATGACTAAGGCAGCAAGAAGATGAAGCAAAGCACCAAAATCAAACATGACTATTGTTTTTTCTTTCTTCAAAGCTGAGAGATGACTCTAAAACTAAATTCAGCTCTTACTCCACCACTGACCTTGTAGCCCATGCAAAAATGTAAACTAAATCCCCAACTTTTAAAAATCATCTTCTAAACAATGGAAAAACAGTTCCTAACTTTGCAGCACAACTCGACTCATTCTGCAGCAACAGTCTCCATTTGCTCCCCACACCTTGGGGATCTCAGAATGTCATCTGCCAATGCTGCCTGCAAGGGAAAGGAAGGGAAGGCTTTTTTTCATGCAGTTTTTGGAGCCATTTTGCTGGGACAAGGCACAGAAGTGGAAGTGGAGAGAAAAGCTGAACCACTCTGAACTTTCACACCAGCTTTGCACAGTTACTTGAATCACTTCTAAACCTCTTAGGCTGTACCTGCAAGCAGGATAACAGAAACAGCTGATGTAAATCCATGGCTTTGCATCTTTTGGGGCATCATTCCCTCCCCAGGAACTGTCAGGAGGGAGTGTAAGCAATCCTGCCTTGGCTGCTCACAGAGGAAGCAGTAAATGGAGATGCCCTGTGCAGACTCTGTGTTCCCCATGTGGTGTAACCAAAACCAGTTCCTGCAATTCTGTGCAATAATATAGAAAGTTTGCTGGTTACTGCTCCCATCCGTCTCCTGTGGGTATGGACTCCTGGCCTCTGAGGAAACCAAGAATGCCATCCTTCCAGATTTATAATCACAGGCATTTATAAAGTACAGTGTTGTTGTTAGGTGCCTTGAAGCAAAAGGGGAAAATAAATAAATAAACTATGTGGGCGTTGCCACTGGAAAAAATAAAAGAAAAATCTGATCTCAATCAACCAACCACATTTACTGCTCTGCATCCATGGCCAAGCATAAACCACCCCTGTCAGCCCTTCACTCCTTCCAATGCTTCTCAGGAACATCCATCTTCTTCCACACGACGTCCCTGATGTCAAAAGCCAGACACAAATTAATTCTGGGAATCCCACCATGGGGAGCCATTAGAGCCCATTCCAAGGCTTCTGTGGAGGCCTCTCCAGGCCCCTGTCAGGCAGCTCAGGCTGGAGCAGCTCTCTGGAGCCAGCCTGGAGCAGCAGCAGGGACATGCTGGGCTGGGCTGGGGCAGGGACATGGGGGATGTTTCTGGGGCAGGGTGGGCAGAGCTCTGCTCCAGAGAACTAAATTAAATATTTCTTTTTAACTCCTTAATTCTTAGCTAAGGCATTAAATTTCAGAGGTTTGATTTCCACACACCAGTTGCCTTCAAGATTTCTGCTGCAGTTCTCCAAGGCTTGGAAAAATAAGGCTGGAAAACAAGGAGGGGGAGCTGACCCTTATGTTCAGAAGGAACGTGTCTAACACATCTCCTGGGTCAGAAGAAAGAAGGAGGCTCCTGCAGGTTGGGGGGTTTAAATTACCCCTCAGGGTCAGGTGTTCAGTAGCATTGCTCCTTCCCACATATTACATTTACACTGTCCAGTCTCTCATGTTCTGGTTTTGAATGGCTGTGTTGAGACGTGCAGAGAGCTGGGAGGGTGGGGATGGGACAGGGACAGGGCCCTGCCTCCTGCTCACCTGGCCCAGACAGGATCCAGGGTCACACAGTTGCTCTCCAGCTGCTGGCATGGACCATCCCAGCACATTTGCTTCTCTCCAGCTCATCCAACCCATGCATTTGCTCAATAACCCCACCTACTTTTATATTAATTTTATGGGGATTTCTTTTTCCGGGTATTGTCGAGCCTTGCTTCAGACAGTCCGTGGGTAAAATAAACATTTCCTGAAGATACATTTCCTTCCTCTGTGCTGCAGGAGAGGAAGAACACCTTGTCCTAAGCGGATATGGTGAAAGGTTTGGGTTGTTTTAGGGAGCTGACCATCATTTGGAGCTAAGCTCACACCTTAATTTGTGACCTCTCTGCTATTTTTAAGAGCAGACAAGAGCACTCAGTGCCATGTTCACCCTTTTAGGACCAGAGTGGTCCATACCCAACATCTGCCCCCCAGCTCCCTCCACACACAGCCTCCTCTGCCTGGATCCACACCCTCCTCTGCAGCAGATGTTGGTGAACATCCCCCACCTGCAGCAAAGACCAACCCAAAATCTCAGCCCTGCCAAGTCCCCTGACACTGGGCTGTGTTTGATCCAGCCACTAACACTGTGGTTATATTGGTTTAGGGCCCTGCAAGAACTACAAGCTGAAGCCAATGTGGTCAACTGGCACTCAGGGAAAAGAGCTGGTGATAAGAAGAGAAGAATATGAGTTGCTGTGTTACAAGATCCTACTCACACCAATAGCCAGAACTTTGGAGGAAGGAGGGAAAACTCCCCAGATACTCAGGCATTGCAAAAAACAAAGGACCAAAGCCTGTTCCAGCCATCTGGGGGAGCCAGCCCAACCACAGAGACACAAAGGAAAAATTGGGAAAGGACCAGTTATGTTCAGGAGGGGCTTCTGTTTGTTCTTATCAGCATTTCTACACCCCATCTTTTGCATGATATTGGAGTTTATATGATATCTGTAGTGACAAGACAAGGGGGAATGGATTCAAACTGAAAGTGAGTAGCCTTAGATTAGATGTTTGGAAGAAATTTTTTAATGTGAGGGTGGTGAGGCCCTTCTTGCCCAGAGAAGCTGTGGTTGCCCCATCCCTGGAAGTGTTCAAGGCCAGGCTGGACAGGGCTTGGAGCAACCTGGGATAGTGGAAGGTGTCCCTGGCCATGGCAGGGGGTGGAACAACAGGATCTTTAAGGTCCCTTTCAACCCACCCCCTCCTGTGATCCTGTGATATTTCTCCACTGTGGGAGCTGGCAAAGTGAACTGCAAAGCCCAGGCAAAACACTGATATTTTCAGTACAGACAACAACAGAATAGCCATTTTCCATGGGTGAAGATGGATAAAAGAGTATTATTTAGGTCTCCTTTAGTACTAGGATTCAGACAGTTCATTTAGTAGTTTTTAGATCTCCACTACTGTTTTTCTTTGTGTTGGTCAAAGGACAAGACTTGTTCTTGCTTATTATACAGACCTGTATCTTGCCTTTGGCAATTCCACTTCAGCTGGTTACACCCCAGCTTCCAAACTATACCAGCAGAACAAAGAGAGCTATTTACCTTCTTATGTACCTGGGGCTAAATGCTTTTTGACCATAACAGACATGAACTACTATTAGAAATCTGCCTTACAGACCATGTCTATAAATGCTTGAGAAGACAGGCTCAAAAGCAACATTTCAGGGATCAGAAACTAAATGCAAAGGAACAGAAACTAAATTCCTTGAAAGATCTATAAGAAAAAAACACAACAGACACATTAATTATTTAGCAAAACTCAGATGTCCATTAATGGCCACTTAGAGGGCATTTTGGCAGGATATCCTATCTCTTGGATCACTGGTGTATCCCTGTTTTCCTTTGGTGGGTTTGTGAGCCATTTCTCCTGTTCCTGTCACTGGGGTGAGGCTCTACAGTTCCCTGCCTTGCTCTGAGTGGTTTCTGTTACCATCCCCACCCCTAGAGCCAGCACCCAAAAAGCCTTCCCTGGATGGCTGAACAGCAAAATGAGTCACAGCCCTGGGGACAAAGGAGCTCTAGCAGATACTAATTTTTTTCAGCTGTAAATCGGTGAAGCCTCATTTTACTAAAATGTGGGATTGAATCTTCATCTCCCTCAGCCAGCAGAGCTTCCCAAGGTGATGGAGATGTGGCCAATGAACACAGAAACTTGGAGCAGGGACATTCCATGCTCTTGAGTGCCGCCTGCAGGCTTTGGGGCTGCAGCAATAATGACTCTAAACCAACACTGAATGTAGTCACTTGGGCAATAAAAAGGGAACTTACTACACTAAAATTCTAAAGAAATAAAGGATGGAAAATATGAGTATTTTTTGAATCAGTTTTTAGTAAGAAGAAGCTGAGATGGGCATTTTTTTCTCACAATGAGTCTTCATGATGATTTAAACCCAAAAGGTAAAAATTAATAAACAAGGCAGAGGGCCATAAACTCACACATATCAACCAGGGAGGAAACAGGCACAGGAATATCCCCAGATGTTGCTCCCTCTAACACAACATTGTGCTTTGACGAGGCCTCACAGACTTTCAGCCACATAAATGCCTTTGAGGATACTCATTCCAGCCCCAAAAGCTAGACCACATATGGAGACTTACAAAGTTGCTGCTGTTTCCAAGCTCTTTTCTTCCTTTCTTTTTCCCCATTCATTGTTGTACTGCTCCACGCTTCTTGGAGTACAGAAGTCCAGAGGCTCTGGCTTCAGTGTCCACAGAGAACCCCACCAAAGGTGTGATAACAGCAGGAGCAGTGATGTGGCACCTGGACACATGGGTTGGAGCTCCCTGCCCATGGCCAGCGGCTCTCCTGGAGCTCTGACATTATTAGTGCCTTCCTGAACCTCTTTGTTCTCTGACTTTGTCATGAGACCTGCAAACAGTTCCTCTCAGATTTGTTCTGGCAGCCACCCATGTTTGCTTGCTCAGGTCCTCTGGGCCTGAGGCTGCTCCTGTCCCCATCCTGCTCTTGTCCCACCACTTCCTCCCTGTCCCTGCTCAAGGTACCACTCAGCTCATACTGACCCAGCTAAAAAAACACAGGGTGTTTGTTTATGGAGCACATGGCACACTCAGAGTCAAAAACAGCTCAGAGGGGATGGGGGCCCCCCAGGATAAGTAAAAGTCCTTTGTGATGTGCAGCTCCCTTGGGCAGCTGAGCCCTGCTGGGCACGTGGGCTCTGCCCTGTGTGTGAGGGGCTGGAGGGAATGAACCCCCTGCAACACTGCATGGGCCAGTCCCAGCTCTGAACCAGGGGAGAAGTGGAAGGTGAAACAGAATGGGAAGGAGTTAAAACAATTCCAACAGTGGAAAAATTAATTTACCTTTTCTGATGATCTCAGACCCAGTGCTGGATCGTGGCTGTACTGACCTGTGACATCAGTGGCCATTAAAACCTAGCTTTCAAAATCCTATTTTCTTTTAAGGAAAGAAGGTTGTCCTACACTCCCCTTCCCCTGGAAATGCATGTTCAGTTCTATAGAGAACAGTAGATTTTGTTTCAAAGTAGATCTAAAATCGTTTTCGTGTTTTTGCCAGCTTGATTCAAACTGCAAGCAGTGATTTGGTTTTAAAATTTATAGAATCATAATAAAGTCTGAAGGTTACTGGTTTACTGGTTGTTTTGGTTTTTTTTTAACTTTATAACTGGGAGTTATATTTCTTGTATAAATATAAAGGAAAAAGGAAAAGAACACGAGGAGGGAATAATAGATCAGATAAACCAGAAATACAGAACTGGTAAGTCTGGAAGAAGACTATATTAATTTTAAATCCTTTTTTTCCCCAGAAGAAGAGGAGCCTTTTACTACTCTGAGAATTTTTCACGGCAATTGCTGCATTGTCCACCCGACTATATTCAACTTAAAAAAATAGCACTTCAAGAATACATTTTAACCATCACTCATAAAATATAGTCTTTTCTCCTTTTCAGTGCTTTCTCTCATATGTCAAAGTCTCTGCCAGAAGTTCAAGGCCCTTCTCATTGAAAAAGGAAGAACAGAATGAGACAGAAGTGAGAGTGAGTTTAGGGGGGATGGAAAAAGGAAGAGAGAGGAACAGCCCTGACACAGCAGGGTGGGAAGGGTTCAATGTCCTGTTGGAAATCTGCCCAGGGAGCCCCAGGAATTCCTCAGTGCCCCCCAGGCCTGGCCAGAGGGGTTTGTGAAGAGCACATGGAACAGCAGCAGGGCTGGGAATGGGCTGGGAATGGGCTGGGAACGGGCTGGCAGGGCAGGGATCTCCGAAACCAGCCCCACAGAACACACAGGGCCATCCCTGGCAGGCTCTGGCTGCACACTGGGATTGACCCAGGGATGAGCAGGGAAAAAGGGGTAATGGGTGTCCAGTTGGCAATTCCCAGTTAGCTTTATAATATTAATAAGTGCCTGAGTGATATTTTGTTTCTGGCTTAGGCAGAAGCCTCTCTCTTGTTTCTTCTTCCTCTAGAAAGCAAAACAGCAGCCCAAAGTCCCTAAAACATGGCCACTCATCTTTAGCTCCTCTCCTTATTCAGAGACTTTTCTGCTGAAGAACAAAGAACTAGATCTAAAATGGACTTAAGGAAAGCATTATGATTGCTTTTCTTCTCTTACAGAAAACCAGAAACCTGAGTGTTACATCCATGTGAGAATGTGTAGGGGGAAGAACAAGGATTAAAGATCTGTCTTTATGGAGTATTTTTCATCCAGAGGATCCCAGTGGCCTCAGCATCACCAATAACACTAATTTCACTGGAGAGTTATGAGCCCACTGTGAGTAAAGGATATGCAAGGCATCAAGAAAACCTTAACAGTTTCACCAGTGAAGCTCACAAAAAAACCCAGACAAAAATCCACAAGAAATTAAGAAATAAAAACTCCTGTGAGGATGCTGCCATGAACAATGCAATGATTCCCAACAGAAAATAAGAATAAGACATTTAAAAGACATATCACTCACTTCTGAAATGCAGGGAACCGTGTGGTGCCCAGGAGGCAGTCGGGTCCCATCACTGTGTGACAGGCTCCAGGAAAGGAAGGGCCAGATCTGTGTGACACTAGAGGGGAGATCTGGAACAGGAACTTGGTTAGGAACAAGAGTAGCGGAATAAATATAATGGCAATGAGAAGGGAAACAAAACCAAAGAGTGATTTTAACTATCTAAAAAAAAAAAAATCAGCATTTAGAGCAAAACTGGGAAGTATTGGCTTCCTTTCTTATACAGCTTATTTACCATTGCTTCCACACCATAGACTTGTCAGGGGCAAATCTGCCTTTTCCCTCAGCTTGTGGGAGAGGATCAAATCTATCTCCTAGTCTCCAGCTCCTTTTAAACACCAGATTATCCCCATGCAATGCAACCTCAAGTCCTCCACTCTGACCAGCCCCATTCCTTCAGCTGCTGGGGTTTATTCTCTGAAGTTTGTATCCTGGAGTCCCAGTAGCAGCAAAACCAGCTGCCAAAATCCTGAGAATATCTGCCTTGGAATCTCAACTACTGTGTGAAGCTGCTGCTCTCCAGTTTGAGATTTGTGTTTGCAAAGGAAATCTGTCCAACAACAACATCGAGAGAGGAAAAAAGGAGGAAAAAGGGCTTTATATAACAGAATTAACAGAGTTGTTGCAATAGTAACGTGTAGTTAACAGGCAACTTTTCCTCCTCCTTCTCTGCCCCCATCCCAACCTCCTCCTCTAACAGCAATTTCATTTGTTTTTGTTTCCAAGCTTCTTTTACTGGCCACTCACACAGACCCGCTCCCTTTGTCTAATTTGGATCTCAAACTTCCATGCAACAGACTCTTGCTGTAACTGTAAATCTTTTTACAGCCCTTCTGCCTCTGAACTGTAAAAGCAATGCCACTGTAAGCTGCCTAAATGGGTCATAAATCCACTTAGTGCACTGAACGCGGGAAAAAGTTTTTAAGGGAAAGAAGGAAAAAAAAGAGGCAAACTAAGATGGCTGGAGGGACACATGGGAAAAAAACCCCAAGAATGTATTTGCTAAATGGAAACAACATCACAGGAGTCAAAGGGAAAATATGAATGCTGGGGGGGTGAAGGATGAAATAATGCATGTTGGTGGTGAAACCAACTGCTGCTGCAGGGCTGGGCAGTTCAGCAACACTCAGCATTCACAGGAGGATGGTGGGTGCCCTCTCCACTCCTGTTGGCACCAGCAGGATCTGGTAGCACCAGGAGAGGCTGTGAGCCTGCTGGCAGCCAACTGACTCTCTTTTTCCACTGGGTGGTCCAAGGACTGGTATCTGGGGCTCATTCCAGCTCTTTTGCACTGCCTGACTCCAGGTTTAGTTGTGGCTCCGTGTCTCAGTTTATTCCATTCTGTAAATGGGAGATAAAGATATTCCCCTTATTTGTAAAAGGTTTTGAGAGCTGCTGAAATGCCACCAGGGAGGGGCAGAACTGATTCCTGTGGCAGTCAATAGCAACAGTTTAATTTGTTTCTCTGGAAGCAGAGCTGGCCCAAAATGGGCCACTTTTGTCCATGTAATTTATTGCATTTGTCACCATGGTATCTGAGCTCTAAGAGTATTATCCAAATTCCACTGAATTCACTGAGTGTCTTTCCACTGCTTTCAATAAGTTTTGGATTTAACCCTAAAGTCACAAAAAAAAAACCAAAAACAAAAACAAAAACCCAAATCCAAACCTGAGGAATATGTCAAAAGAATGTAAGTGGGTGTGAGTTGAAATTGAGGAGTTTGGAGACGGGAGTATGCAGAACAGTAGCTATTTAAAGACCAAGTTTGCTACTGAGTGTTCCCTTTTAATAGGGTTATATAAATACATTCCCGTCTCGATGCATGTGGAAAAACAGGCAGTGAGGTGAGACTCTATTGCTTTATTTCTTATGGGAAACACTGTGCACAGCTAAACCACCTCTTCCCCTTTCCTATCCACCACCCACAGTCCCTGGAAGCCTCAGCAGCTGTGCAGGGTGAGGAGGCACGTCCGGGAGCACAGAGAGTTAAAAAGTTCACAGCCCTGCCCTTAAATAAAGCCCCTGTTTTCACTGTGTTCTCACTTCCTTACAGCCTGGATGGGAGATTTGGCACTCAGCATGTCAGAATGGGAGGGGAGGCTGGTTATGCCTTTTTATTATTATTATTATTATTTGACTGGTCTGCTCCCTTGCAAGGAAAAGAGAAGGGAAGAAAAACGTTCTTGCTTGGCTCTCTGCAAGGACCAAACGAGTTCCAGGGCAGCTGCCTCGGGCCAGGGGAGCCCCCCCAGAAACCACTGCCCCAGTGGGCACCAGCTGGCACCTCAATTCCCATCCTCAGGACAAAAAGCCAGTGGCCAAAGAGGACTGTGAGATGAACCCTCTTTTTCACCGGTACCACACATATGGTGCACTGACTAACAGCTCAGTTCAGGAGACTCTCACACTATAACTTAAAAGAACCCTATTAAAATGATGGAAATCTTTGACTATGAAAAGTGGGGTCTGCACCTGGATAGTAATTATGTTTCAAAGGAAATCCATCTGGTATTTTATTGCTTATTGTCTCCCTGCACTTTGTGTACGAGAACAATACCGGGGCTGGAATATTTCATATCGGGAGACTTCCAAAAAGCTGTTTGCACTCTGTCAGGCCAATAAGCCACATAGATTTTTGCAATATTATATCAATTATGGGTAATAACTGGAACACACACTTTTTTAAAAACCTTCCTGAAAACACTGGTATGGACACTTGGAGCAGGCAAACTCCATCAGACTCCGTGGAGTTCATATGCCCAAAAAACAGTTAAATCTTCGGTGTCTGGAAAGTTTTACAACTACAGTTAAAGTCAAGGGAAGCTTCTTTTTGCCCTCACCAGAGCCAGAGCAATGTGCTGCACTGAGGACTGAACCCTGTGGCATGTGCAGGCTGGGGAGCAGGGCACAGATGGCACAGGGTGCAGCACAGGACAGGTCTGGGGGAACCTCTGGCCAGGTGAGACCCAGCTCCGAGACCAAGACTCGTGTCCATGTGTTAATAACATCAGCCTGGAGCTGGGTCAGGCCTGGCCATGTGCAAACCACCATTTTATACTATAAAGAGCACACTGTAAAAAGAAAACTATAAAACTATAAAAGAATTGGGTACCACCTCTAAAGACTCTGAGAGTGCAACAAGAGCCTTAAAATAAAATCACATCCAGCCAGAGCGACCTGATGACAAGGCAACCTCTCCTTCACTGCCAACTCAAGTGATTTCGTTAATTCCAGTGAATATATCACAGGTCTCAAGATGACTGATGCTTTCATTGCTGCCTTGGCTTCAGCCATTAGGTGATTGTTATGAATCTCAACTTCCATTTTTTAAAGTTTTAGCTGTCACCATTCAAAGAAATGGTATTAAAAATAAACAATGAAAACTTAAAAGTAAGAAAGAGGGAAAACATAAGGTAATCCCTATGGAAAAGCAGAAGACAAATTAAAAAATGGTATTATAGTAATTATTTCTTACCTGTCTTGAACTTTTAGTGGTGATGTTTGATGGCCAGAGCAGAGGTTACTGGCTGGCTGACAGCAGCAACGTTACTGTAAATGAAACCCATGCAACAGAATTTGGTTATAATCTACATTTGCTTTAAATTTGTGCAACCTCTAGTACAGAACTAGGAAACAGTCACAGATTTAATTTACTTTTCACTTCTGATGCTCTCTGCATATTGTGGGGGATATGGTTTTGGCAAGGAGTTTGCATTTATTAGCACGTATAAATTTACCAGGAATGTTTGGTCTTGCTGTTAAAGCTCAGATCTAGAAGACAGGAATATGTCAGAAGCTGAGTGTCATTTTTAAAAGCAAGCTTCAAACCCATGTATTTTTGTTTAAATACTTCACAAGTAAACCAACTGCACCTAAAAGAGTTGAGAAGGCAGAAACCAGACATGACCTGAAATATTCTTTCTAAAAACTTATTTAATTATTTCTGAGACTTGGAAACCTTATTCATGATTTCTATATATTTGGAATTGGAAATACTGCTGCTAACTGCTCGTCACCGTTCCACATGCCATCACCCAGAGGCAAGGACAGATTTCTTTCTCCCAAACCAAACTGGAGGGAGCAGATTTACTGGAATAACTTGCAGAGTCACACTTCAGCAGCTCAGGGTCACCAGAGGATGTTGGCACTCGGTGCCCTCCCCACTCCTGCCATGTAACAGCACTGCAGGCACTGCAGGCAGAGCAGCCCAGGGCTCTGGGGGAAGATTCGGGGACGAGACTGTGCCACAGCCACCCTGTGTGCCCCTGGCTGGCACAGACCAGCCCAAGCTCCAAGGAGAATCACACACCAGGGACCTGGACCTTCACCTCTGCTGCCTGAACTGCCAGTGGGACATGGAGAAAGCAGCATTGCCAAGGTACAAACCACTACCCAAGGTGTAATGAAGGTAATTCAGTCAGAGCATCACAACACACACTGGGGAGCTGGAACGGGCTCACCTGAGGACAGCTGGGGTGTTTGATGAGCAACACGTTGTGCAGAGATACCAGCTCAGGAACTTGGACCAAAACAGGGTGAAGAAGCTCTTACAGTCTTACACTGGTGAGGTGGCTCCTCCTCAGACCATCTGGATAAGTCCCTGCTGTGCATCACTGCCCAGAGCGAGAACAGCACCACAGGAACATCACACTGCAGAGAAAAAAAATGCAACAGAAAATATTCTTATTTCTGAAATTTCCAAAAAGATATTGAGAAGTGTTAGAGTTCAGAAAAAGCCTTTTATTCTTTCCTTAAGCAGGTATAGGAAACAAAAGAGATTTGGATAGAAATTTGTGCCTAGCTCTGAACTGCTGCTTTATATCTGCTTGCTTTGTTTTACTCCTCTTGCCAATTAGATGAAGAGAACAATTTATTGTGGGGTCAGCCTCAGCTTTTTGTTCCTGTCAGTTTATTTTGGATCAGATTCCTAAATTCACATACACAAACTCAAGCAACTCTTTACATCCACACATAACCTGCCCACGCTGGTAAAGAGAAGAAGCCTCCTCTCAGCCTGAGGAGAACCTGCTGTCTGCCAACTCCTTCCCCTCTGAACCATAACCTTTGACTCCTCCTGGGGGGAGAAGGGAGAAATGCAATCAGGTGCAGAATTCCAATACATCCCTCTGGGGTGACAGACATCCAATTTCCAAGCAACCATTAAAAAGTCCATATGGAATTCCATCTTTAATATGAAGCAACAAGAAACAGGAAAACCCCCCAGGGAACACATGCTGTGTGTTACTCCTGCCTGGGGGGTGGGCCAGTTCTGAGCCTTTCCAGGTGCTCTCTTCTCCACAGAGCACGAGCTGTGGGAAGGTTCAGCACACTTGGGGTGCTCTTACACTTTATTATTATTATTATTATTTTAACTAAGAAACTAGCTGCTTGGTCCATTTGAGAAGGGTAAGGCTTTGAGACAGATGTGGAAATATTCTGAAAACACAACAGTCAGGCAGTGGAACACATCCAAGATTATATGAAACATTAAGTAAGTGGAAAACATTTATTTTCCCATCTCATATTCCACCACAAACTTGTATTTCACAAGCTTATCTTCATATCTGCATTATAACTGAGCACTAATTGTGTTTTCCTCCATATTTTTTTCAGTAGATCCAAAATGTTCCAGCCTGGAGTCTCCACATCCATACCACAAAAAGTTGTTTTCTGCCCCTCTGGCATCAGCTGAGCAGGCAGGAGCCAGGGGGCAGTGCCAGAGACACTGATGGACTGCAGGGCCACACTGCTGCCCACGGGCCCTGCAAATGAAGATGAAATGAGGCTCCCTTGTGTGCAGCACATTGAGAAGATTTTGGCCCCCATTTCAGCGTGACCCAATAGGTTTAAATTGCTTCATTTCTCAGCCAGCCAAGAGCAAATGGGTGGTAGATGTGATATGGCTGTTCACTGGAAATCACCCCTGATTGATTTACCTCCTCCTCCCCGGCAGTGCAGGGGCTCAGTGTGTGGCTGGGGCACATAAATTACACAGAAAAACCCTTTGCTGGTTGTGTACAGTCTATATATGTTGTCACCCCATCAGAGGAGAAGCTTTTATGAAGTATTAGCTCTAAGTGTATACAGAACAGAAATGATCATTTTTACTTGCTTGACAAAAGCTAAGTCACATTTCAAAGTAATACTTTTGAGTTAGAATCAAGTAGAACCAAGTAACTTTGATCATTTTTTTCAAGTAAAGAAACAAACAAACAGAAAATGCTGCTGCTGGTTATAAAAACAACAGGAGAATTTTTAGGAGTTATTTTGTTTGTTTTTTTAAAAACTAATAAGAGCTGTGAAATTCAAAAAGAGTTTTCAGTTTTCATTAGTAAGATTTCAACACTCTGGATTTGCTTTTGCCTTTTTGAAAGAAGATACAAAGACATTTCATTTTAACATGTTTGCAGAAAAAAAAATTAATTGCCACCAGCACTACTACATTGTTATTTCTGGGGGACGAGTAACAATAGATTGGAGAATTATTCACAAGAATCATTTGGGTGATTTATATACTTTATTGTGATTGGAACAAGGAGCTCATTTCAGGCTGTCATACTCACAGTGCTCTCCACAGATGGGTGTAGTGTTGAGAACAGTCACTTGAACCCAAATTGAAAAGAACTGAGATTAAAACCTGGGAATAAAGCTTCAAGCCAAGGGGTGGGTTTGTCTGGGGGTTGTACAGCACAGGGAGCAGGGTCCTGACTCCAGCCTGCACTTCCCAGGGGACACAGCACTGACAGTCACACACATACACAGCAAAACTGGTCCCAGAGCAGGTCTCTGCTCCAGCCTGGCTGGAATGCACAGGAGAATCTGGCTTTGGGTGGAAGAGGCTGTGAGAAGAAAAGGGAGGAAAAGATTTCGCAGGTCTATGCTTAATAGTCATTAAAATCAGGCTTTAGATCAGGTAAATTAGGACAACCATGCAAGGTGAGATTTTTCGATTATTTCTTTTAGATTATCCCAGTTTTCAGGACACCCAGAGTCCACCCCTCTCCAAGTAATAAGCCTCAAATATTTCTGTAATGTGTCTCTCATTTCCATCCTTAAGCTCAAAACTTCAAAACTACCCCAAGTGAGATGACTTGTTTTTTTTCCTTACCCAAGCCAGCTGAAGGCAACAGAGATCCTCACTCCCCACCAAGGTCAGTACAGATTTACAAGATTCAGATCTATTTTAACATTTTGATGTCCCTTCAGTTCTGAAATCAGCCATGGTTCTCTGGTTACTGCAAAGTAAACAGTGCATCACTGCTGGCTGCAGAAACCCTGGAAAGTCAGAACACGGGATAATTAACAGCTCCCAGCAAACTTCCACTCTTCAGATCAGCTGAGTGAAGAAGGGAAATGAATATATTTTAAGCATAAAATATTGCTCACCCTGTGTTGAATAAAACCAAAGACTCCAATGCAAAAAAATACCAGGAGATGTGACCAGACTCAGAACATTTCAATCAGATGTGATACCCTACAAGTCATTTCAAGACAATTTGAAAACAAAATCAATGTTGCTGATATGGATAATAAACCTCTCTTTACAAATGCATTAATAGAAGTATCAGTTTAAAAAGAAAAAATGCAGTAAGATTATAAATTTATTAAGCAAAATTCATTGACTGAACAGTGCAGACTATTGTCAGCCACTTCTAGGACTTTGTTATGCAGTTCTTCAAAGCTTAAATAGCACAATTAATCAAACTAATTGCAAGCCTGGAAATTCTTTATTCATAACAGTAAATAACTACATCTATTAAGTAACTTCTTGTAATGTAAATCTCACTATTGAGGCTGATATTATCATGTGTTTTCCTCCTAATGGATTTAAAGTACCTGCAGTAAATAAGAGCCAAAAGTCAAAGCTTTTTTAAAGCAAAATATCCCACTTTTAATATTTAAGAAATTCCTTCTAGACACTTGAAGATGCTCATGTTACAGCAGACTGTGGGAATGCCCTTCAGTTCCTTACACATTACATGTCTAATAAAGCCTCATGTCCCAGTGACAGAAGCATCTGGCTCTTCTTTCCTAATCAATAATATTCAGCAAAAGTCCCTTCTTCCAGCAGCAGCATAAATTATCAGATATATGCAAATAGACTTGCTAATGTTAATTGCCAGGGCTGATTGGTGATTAATTTTTTGATTATGATCAATCATTCCACACGAATTTTAATAAGACATTCAAGGCAATCTGCAAATTGATAATAATTAGGGCTCCCAACTGGTAATGCACCCACAGCCAACTCTGACACAGCACTGGGACAACACATTCCTGGGACAACACATTCCTGGGACAACACAGCCCTGGGACTGAGCATGGTCCTGGAACAACGTTCTCCAGACTGAAAGAGAGAAGAGAAAGATCAAAGCCTCCACATCATCTCTAACAAAAGCTCCTTTTTTGCCATTTTTAGGGTAAGATGGGCTATGGTGTCCTCCAACATAACTGGCCACCTTCTTTGTGTCCCTCGTGGTCAGAAGTTAAATGGGAGTTTCATTTACACGACAATGCTTTGGAATCATTACCCCAATTTGCAGACTGCCAGCCATGAAAACAACCACAGGATCCCAAAAAAATCAAGGGAGGAACATCTCTCAGAACAGTCCTGCCAGACCTGCGGGGAACACAGCCAGAGGCAGGATACAATTATAATTTCAGGCCCTGCAAATCAAAAAGGTTCAGGTAATGTCTTTCTTTTCCTAAAGCAGAGCAGGCAAGAACATTCAATTTCCAGCTACAAGAAGAGGAATGTTTTCCCTCTGTGACACTTGTTTGTGTACTTCAGGGGGAAAGTTCAGTAAATATAACAGCTCAAAATGCAACATGATTAATAATATTTTCTTTCCAAGGGAATTCTCTTGCAAACATAAATATTTCCACACAACACTTTAAACCCAAACACTCTCGCTGTGCACGGACCAGGACTGGAGAAGGACGGGAAGTTCTCCAGACGTGCAGACCCAGTGCTGGACTTTGCTCTCCATCCAGAAGGACAGACAGACCTCAACACCTGCGAGGAGCAGCTCAACAACCATCACCTGCTGCCAAAAACGAGGGAATGCCAGGGCAGGATCCAGAGGAGAGTCCACTGAGAGCACATTGTACCTCAGCACTGCCCTGTCATGTCCAACTAATATCCAAGCTTTTGAAATTCCTGTCCCCATGGCCCAAATTCTGATTTGCACAAAATACTCCTCTTTATGTGTCAAGAATGGTGTGAAGGAGTTGGAATATAAATGAAAATAAATCCCTGAGGTCTACAATTCTTTCAGTTCTTTCAGTGCTGCCAAATGGACCATTTTATGATGAGGTCCCAGGTATTTGCTCCTCTATTTGAAGAGCTTGCAGTTACTGCAGTGCAAGTAGCTCAGCTTTTGTTTTCATTAAAAAGACAGAGTAGGATTGGCCCCTACTTTTATGTTAAATTTTCTGAACAGAAGTTAGGTTTCAGTTGAATGTTATTTTGCACAGGAAATATCTTCTTCCTGAATATGTCATCTTTTCAACAAGAAACTGAAACGTGTTTTTTAGAAAAAGTGCAGCTTTAAGTGAAGCTTTTCAACAAATAGGAAAATATTTTCTTTTCCTCCCAACAGTTTCAATAAGAAAAAAAGCCCAAACCATAAAGAAGTGTATTCTTGCCT